TATCTGAAGAAAATGTTTTTTTTATTATTTGTCACGTCTTTGAACAACTGACTTGAAAGTAAGCGTTATTCTATTACAGAACATATTATCAATACACGCCAATAAAAATCGACACACCACCCAAAAAAAAAAATCTATGAATTTGCACATGCGCCTTGCAGGCTCCTACACTGTATTGCATTTATTTGTATTCTACTTCACTTTAATACCCGACAATCTCGTCTGCTTGATATAAATTGCTTTCATTTTTTTGTTGTATTTTTGTTTTTGTTTTTGCTTCTTCTTCTTTTTCTATTCCTGCTACAAAACCCCTTTTTTTTTTTTTTTTTTTTTTTTTTTTTTTTTTTTTTGAAAGATCTTGTTTCGACCGAATATAAATTTAGAAGCTGTACAAAAAAAAAAATGTCAGGAAAGCTCCTCGCCACGGGCGGAATCGCATTCATTTCAGATTCAATTACCAAACGTTTTGATAGCGGCAGCTACATGGGCGTAGTCGATCAATGTGCACTACGGATTTATCTCCCTTGCATTGTAAGGCGACTCTTTTTAGATAGATTCATTCTTATCACTTTGATAAGTAAATCAATTCTATCTGCTAACGTCTTTAAAATTTAGATATTGATATCCTTAATCTACTCATTGTATCAACATAGAAGCGTTTTCTTTGGCCGATTGGGAATGCTATTTTATTGACCGTACATTTCACGTAATAGTTGTGAACTCTCTCAGAAGTAGCTTCTTTCCATCTATAAATTGTTTCTTCAAGTTCAAATTAAGAATACCTGGTGTGTCTCCAGGCCCTAGTAATGCTCAGGTAAGAAGCATCCTGAATTTATAATGAAGCGTACTGACAAATTAACGGCATATATTGCTGAAATCTCCTGACGAGTGTATCGAACGATTGCAAAAAGGTTTCGTCTATGAAATTCTGGAGTTGAGGTGCTGAATATAACATTAATCAACTGACCAATTTTATTTTTATTAATTATATATATATATATATATATATATATATATATATATATATATATATCATATAACATTAATCAACTGCTGACCAATTTTATTTTTATTAATTTATATATATATATATATATATATATATATATATATATATATATATATATATATATAATTATTAATTAGGACCGAATATTAATTATATATATATATATATATATATATATATAATTAATAAAATAAAATTGGTCAGTTGATTAATGTTATATTCAGCACCTATATATATAATTAATAAAAAAAATAAAATAACATTAATTAATTTTTATTTTTATTAATTATATAATTAATAAAAATAAAATTGGTCAGTTGATTAATGTTATATTCAGCACCTATATATATAATTAATAAAATAAAAAAATCAATTTTATTTTTATTAATTATATAATTAAAAAAAAATAAAATTGGTCAGTTGATTAATGTTATATTCAGCACCTATATATATAATTAATAAAATAAATTTGGTTGGTGCTGAATATAACATTAATCAACTGACCAATTTTATTTTTTTAATTATATATATATATATATATATATATATATATATATATATATATATATATATATATATATGCGTGTGTGTGCGTCTAGGTAACTCTCCAAAAGAACAGAAAAAAACAATATTTAATGTTTAAAATGAATTTCTAAAAATGTAAAATCTTTCTAGAAGCTTTTATTTCAGTTTTAATTTCAAGCTAATCGATGAAATTTAATATTTCCAATAAGTAAAATAATTTACTGTATTCCAAAAACTAATTTAATTTTTAAAAAATCCAATTTAAAACTAATTTAATTCAATTTTGATTTTTTTTCTTTGCTAAAATAGCTGATGAGCGCATTTTAGTCGTCTTTCGTTGCAATATAATTCTCTTTATTCAAAAATCTTCCAAAAGTGAAATATACGTTTCTGAAACTTTATTTGAGGAATATTAGCTGATTTAAAGTATAATTAATTTGATTTTAAACAAATATTATTTACTTGAGGTTAAAAATATCTCAGAAATGCATTTTTTATTCTAACAGTAGATGTGTTTTTAACCTAACAGTAGCTGTTTTGATGTGTTGATAGTGTGATGACAGGCCTAAAGTTGTTCTTCATAGACCTTCTCTGTAATAAATATATATATATATATATATATATATATATATATATATATATATATATATATATATATATATATATAACGAGAAGGTTTCTATGCCATTCAAATATTTTTTCAGCAAAACGAAAAAGAGCGAAATAAAATAGAATAAATATAAGAAAAGTTTGGCTGTGGAAAGGAAAGTATTTCGTTAACAACATAGCCCGAGTTCAAATATCTACGCTCCTGAACAAAAAACACTACTACTTACTGGCCGGCTGGAGATAGATTAGGATTTGTGTCTCTAGGCAAAGGCGAAAGAAAATAGTTTATTTTTTAAAGCATAGATTTTTAAAGAAACCGGTCACCTAACTCTGCTACTACGTATATCCTCTGCAGCCAATCATTCTACTTCTTCTTTTATGTGCCATGTCCGTTTAGGACGTAGGCGATCATGGCTCTTCACATCTTCTTATCACTTGTAGCTCTTAATAAGTTTTGTATTTTTGTTATCTCTCCCAAACCCTGTTATACCATCTCCGCACTGCTCTTGCGTTTTTGTTTTTGTTTTTTTAATTTTTCTCACTGTACCAAGAAACCATTTATGACATCGGCTGCTGTTGGATCCAGTGACTTGACCCAAAGAGTTGTGAGTTCAATGTCTGGTTACTGCAGTAGCGAACAAAAACTTAGAGAGTTGGGTTAAAGGTAGATAGCTGAGATATCCGGAAGAGGCACGGCACGTGAAACTGGAATAATCTGCTCGGGTGGACGAAATAAATGGTTCAGTTCGAATCACCTAATGAAGGCCGGGGTATACAACGACCGAAACGTCGTGTATATGTTAATAAAAATGAGGACAACAGTCTGAGCTATTTAAATAATTTAAATAAATACAATACCTCAACTCAGAAATACAGACAGATAAGAAAAGTTTTGGAAAAAATAAGTTTTCGAAATAATTGAATTGTATCCATATTTATGGAGTATGAACATGATAAAACGATTTTAATCATGTGGTTTTGGTTTGCAGTAAACACAAGCTAGTGATGACATGAAACATAGAAACAGATATTTCTCCAGTCTGACCTCATCAGCCATCAGCGTATTTTCACATTTACTGAACACTAGGTCATCAGAAAGAGGCAGATGAAGTTTCTGGAACACATAAGGAGGAAGGAGGGCCTGGAAAATCTGATACTCACAGGTCGTAGAGAGGGAAAGAGAGATAAGGGAAAGTAGTGCATGACATACCTGACGAGCTTGAGCAGGTGGATGACAGAACGTGGTCTGGGGGAGGAATCAAAGGGAAGGAGCTTGCTGAGAGCTGCAAGGGATAGAGGAAGGTGGAGAGCCATGATCGCCTACGTCCTGAAAGGACATGGCACATAAAAAGAAAAGAAGGTTCCTCAGGTTATTAACCCCCCTCGCACACACACACTTATATTCGGCAATAAGAGATACAATAAAATAACCATTAATTTTTACGTTCTAATGTTGTATTTTTTTTTCTTCACAGATTCAGTTTGAGTAAAAAACTTTATCGATTTTAATGATTTAAAATGAGTTTAGATCAAGCCCATATCAAACACTGTATGCTGATTAACATAAAAAAGGACTCTTCAGCAATGAAAGTGGTGTGAAATATTCGTTCTCTCTATAGAAATGAAACTTTTAAGTCTTCGGATATGTCAACGATGGTTTCTCTAGTAACGATCGGAATTTTTTTCCATTCGAACATTCCCCTCGATTTGAGCGACCAAGTTTTTTTCAATATTGAGCTTTTGAAAACCGTACTTGAGGAAAATCCTAAGCAAACTGCATAAGAATTGAGATAAAACAGTTGAATATAAGTCACTCATTAATTATAAAACAATTACATGAACTCAACAAAACATCTAAAAATCGTCAGTGGGACCCTCTACATCTAATTCCTTCTCAGCTTAATCAAAGAGTTACTCTCGGCTCGATATTTAAGAGTAGAACAGTGACTGAACCTTTCCTAGGTCGAGTCATCAGCAGTGATGACAAAATGTTCTCTATAATCATATCAAATTGAAATGACATTGGCTAGCATTTAGGGAACAATGAGGATCTATTGCCAAAACCATGACTACATCCGAAAAATGCTATGCTCTGTATTTGGTAGGAAACAAAGTGTGTCATCTATCATGAAGTGCTAAACCAAAATAAACAATTAATGCAAGAGAGATGTTGTTGCTAATTAAAAGCATTGCAATATATGTGCATTTGCATGAAAAACTGCTCATTAATGATTAATCGATAATACACAGTCAAATATTACCCGCGTTATATAGGAAAATATTATGGCAACAGATATGAAACTTTTGCCTCATCCTCCTTACTCTCCTGACCTTGCTCCATCTGACTATCATATTTTCAGATCATTACAACATTCATGGCGCGAAACCGTTTATTAATTGTAAAGAGTTTAAAATTGATATTGAGTGTTTCTTTGCATCGAACCCTAAAGACGTTTACACCTGAAAGATCAACAATTTGTCAAATATAAGTGATTATGTGATGGATAATGAGGAGAAATGTTATCTTAATTAAATATGTCAATTAAAATTAATGAATCAGAACTTTCTTTCCAACTTCATATTTGTTTCAAATGTAGGACAATCTTACTTTATTACGATATGACATCTCTTTCTAACAAAATAGTACCGGCTAACGAGAACACGAGCTGATCAATGAATAACAGGCTTGAATCTTTAACTTTAAATTTTATTTCATTCCAATACTTAAGTAGTCACATACTCTCGACCAGTGTGTGGAGTGTGGCCTCTAAGCTCTTCGACCAAAATGTGCTCCTTACATTCTCGCCCTTCGATATGCGAAAAGAGTGACCAAATTTTCTGACTTAAGGCAACATAACGTTAAAACACCAATTCCCGTACAATCACCGAAGTTAAGCAACGTCTATTCTGGTTAGTACCTATATGGGTGAACACTTGCGAAGATCCGGTGCTGTAAGCTTGGATGTGCGGCTGGTGTAATGGATAATAGTTCAAAATTGTTGATCGGAGAGCCGAGTTCCAATTTCACTTGGGTTCGAAAAAGGTATGAATCCACCTCTTCTCTCTCCAAGCTATGGGTTAATTAGTAATACTTGTATCACTAAACCATTTTTATCTTTAAAAAAAAAATCTCACAATCTAAAAAATTAATATTTTCTGGTTTTAATTAAGGTCAGCCGTAGAAAACGAATCAATGTAGCAAGAAAATCCTCTCTGGGACGGTTGTTTATATAACTTAGTTTGTTACAAATCTTTCCTACACTTGCAAAAATTGATAGAGGTGTGAGGTAAAGTACTTCTGCATTCAGCGACAAAGAGTAACCGCCAGATTTGACAAGCTTCTTTGGTTTATGTATAACTAAATGCAAAACCTATTCTGGCATAATACAACATCTTTATGCAAATGAAAACGCGGGCATTTTATTTCAAAAGCATTCGACAGCTACTGTATTTTATATATATATATATATATATATATATATATATATATATATATATATTAACATCAAATGAATAAGTTGCGAAACTTTTATAATGTTCGTAAAGCTAATATTCTTTTTCAGCTTTAATATTCTTCATTGCAAAAGGACTATCGAGATGTTCGTTCTTTGTAATGTTTTACATGGAAACATCTCAGAGAGATCAGAGAATTAAGCTTTTTAGAAACATTGTGTGTTTTCTATAGTCTTGATAATTATGGTTTCATCATGCATAATTTTTTAAAGCAACGTTGTACTTTTTGCACCATACTGTCTTTTGGTTTGATTTAAGCTTTTTGTCCGATCAAATAAAAAAAACGATAAGCTGACTAACCGAGATCAAATATCAAAAAGTTCAGAAGGGGAATTCGGAAATGATTTTTGACAAAGATTCCTTTGAAGTTGCCGAGTAAAGTCTTGCTTATGTCCCCTGCTACCTTTCTCCTTCTTTATCTATTTCTCTTTGCGCTTTTTTTCTTCTTTCTTTTCCTCTTTCTTTTTCTTCATTTTTTCTTTATTCACTTTTTCATTATTATCATGCCACTGACTACTTGTCTCTTTTTAGCATTCTTCCTTATTTCCTGTCTTTTAACCTGTTACTTTCTCAAAGCCAGTCATCACTCTTTTTCACATAATAACCCTCTGCATATATATATATATATATATATATATATATATATATATATATATATATATATATGTATATATACATACATACTACTATATATATATATATATATATATATATACATGCTGCTATATATATATATATAATATATATATATATATATATATATATATATGTGTGTGTGTGTCTGTGTGTCTGTGTGTTTATTTAGCCGGTTTTATTCGACAGTCCTTGACATTTTTCCAACATCAGGTTGATCGAGTGTAATACCCAAAGCAAAAATATAGCAATAGAAAAAGCTACGTCACTTTTTTTGTCGCCTCTTGAAAATATCTGATGAGATATTTCCAAAGAATACGTTCCTCTAAATCAGGCAGTGAATCGAAAATTGATTCAAGACAATTCATGGATAGCAATGAGATCAGTAAAAGCAAAGAGTGCGCTGGAGCGTCTATCCTGCAAGAAATTTCTTTGTCCAGTGAATCGGGTGGTAATTCAGGACAATTCCTAAATATTGATAAAGGCAGTGAAATGCCATAATTAACATGGGGTGACTGACGAAACATTTTACCGATATGACGGCACACAAAACTTGATTGATTTTAAAATGGACGTACATGTAGCCTAATGGTTGAAAACTCGGAATGAGAATTTGGCGATCCTAGTTCAAATTCAAGTCGACTTCATTACATGACTCCATCTATTCCCCCCTCCTATGTGTGTTCTTCCGTGAACATTATAATCTTAACGTCTTTATGTCAAGGCTCTATCGCTATCCTTCTAATAAACTTTATCATTCAATATTCCTCTACCTTCAGCGGCATTTATATAGCGGCTCTCTACATTTATGAACTTTAGTAAAAACAAAAAAAAAGTCAACCATTTCCTACAGAAGAGAAAAGAAGCCATTTAATTAAAAGTGATTTTCACACTTATCAATATAATTCTCCTTCTTCTTTATGTTCTGTTTTCCCTCAAGACGTAAGTGATCCTGGCTCTCCACAAATGTCTGGTCCTTCGTAGCGCTTAATAAATTTTGTCTTATTATTATTATTTCTCTTAAACCTTTTTCAGCCATCCATTTACTCAAGCTTGCTAGGTAGGCCATGCGTTGTTTTCTTCTCCCCGTCTTGTCTTCAATATGTCTTGTGAATATCAAATTTTCAAAGCCCTCTTTCCTCATTTATGTACTCTACAAATGTCAGCTGTCTCTTCCTGATGTTAAGTAAAATTGTTCTTTTTGTTTCCATTTTCTCTAAAACTTCGTCGCTGCTCACATATTCGGTTCTCAGCATCCTTCTGTAGAACCGCATTTCTGTAGCTTCAAGTCTCTTCTTCATCTTTGATGAGACTGTATTAAATGCTATTTAGGAGAATAGATATCACAAAACAATCCAGAAATCTTTTTGTTTCAAACGAAGTTTTTCTGTTTCTTAATACTTTGTTTAGCTTTTGGAATGCATCTTTGACTATCCGAATGCAACTTCTGAGTTCATTGTCACGCTTTCTGTCCTCTGTTCTTTCAGTTTCCACTTGTTATACGTGCGGCGGAGATTGTAATAATCTGTTTTCAGCGTGAACCCCTTGTTTTCCATCAAGGTCATTATATCCCGAACGCTTCGATATCGGCTAATGGTTATTTACCTATTGTGATTGACTGTTATTACTGAGTAGTGAGTTTCGATCTTCACAAGGTGTTCATAACTGTAAATTTGCGCCAGAATTAAACTAAACTTAATAACAACATATTTCAATCCGCTTGATACAGAAAGAAAAAAGACTTCCGCTTATTTAACCGACTTGATCCACCATATTGATCATTACTGACGTCACTCAACTGCCGACCGTTTATACGACCTTCTCCTCAGCAGATTCAAGATCTTGTTTTTTCGAATTGAACTGCAATTAATATATTATGCTTTTAAAATATCGTACGTGTTTCTTCATGAGGTGGACGATTATAATTCTCCACAACTTTCTGTCCCTTGATGCCCTAAGCAACGTTTGATACTTTAATATTCCTTCCTTGTCTCTACGCTGTTATCTATTCGCATAGATTCATTAGGCAAATTACTCCACACCTGCTTTGTTCAATCCGTCTTGTGAGTATTAAATTTTCCTAATCGTATTTCCTCATAAAGTGTCAGAGAAATTTGATCTGCCTCTTTCTGATTCTAAGTATGAGTGTCTATCTAGTTCCCCATTTTCTTTAGAATGTCCTCGCTGCTTACATTTTCGAAATTCAAAATTTGTCTGTAGAATCACATCACTGTCGCTTCGAGTTTCATTTGCATTGGTAAAGACAATGTCCAATACTTACTCATATGCATATGCCCTATAAGAGAATAGATATGACAACGCAGTTCAGCACACTTGTCTTTTTTTCTAAGGAAATGTCCCTATGTCTTAATACCTTGCTTAGTTTCTGGAAGTCGTCTTTGACTATTCCGATTCGCCTTCTGTGTTACATTATGCATAGCAAATTTGACCACTATGTCATGATCCTAAAAATGTCTCGCTTAAAAAATGCTCATATCACGATGTACCTGTTCAGATTAAATAATATGTTTAAACTGCTAGCGATGCATATAAACTACAGTGTGCTGTGACACAGTATCTATTTTTATGGATTGATATAATCACAGTAACTTCTCATTTCGTTTACTGCAGGGCGTTGTTTCAACCTGTATATATCACCAGGCATAAAGAACTAATTTTCTACTTCAAAAACCTGGATAGCATTGAGTCAAGTTTTTCTTTGTGGTGTGGGTGTGGGCAGGTGTTTGTCAGGTATTGTTATACAGGTTATAACAGAAAAATTGTTCATCCCATAAAATGTTTAATATCTAAAAAAAAATTGAGTCTCTTTTTTGCCAGGTTTTCAGATGAGACGTTTAGCCATCTTGACACCATTTGTCGTAAGGGCCACTGAAAAAATCTTTGAGTTATTCAGCTGGAAAGAGAACAGGTTAAATCGTTTTGTGTCAGTCCCACTGTCTTCCCAAATGAGCAATTGTGAGAGGAAAAAGATCATTCAGGCTTTTAGTAATGGTACCAACATTCATACTCTGTCTTCCATCTTTAAATTCCATTCAAGAACCATCAAGAGAACAGTGAATAAGTTTTAAAAAGAGAGAAAAGTAGAGAGGAAAACTGGATCAGGAGGTCACGAGAGCCAAAGGGATCATCATTTCGACTTGAGCTAAATGCATTCATATTGTTCAAAGTAAAGTCTAATAGTGTTATAAAAACCTCGGAGAATTCCAGTCAGATCTTCAATCATTTGTAAGTTACAACGGTCCAAAGCTTACTCTAAAAATTGGACCATTTTGCTGTTACATCAAACGATTTGGGCAATTTATCTGTTATACCGGTATACGTAAATATCTTTCTGCAAACGCTTCATGATCATCGCAGCTATGAAACATTGAAACATGAATGCACTATTTAAAACGATATTTTTGCGACAGAAGCGTTGAAGAGGATGTTATGAATGAGAAAGATTATCCGGGTCATTGAGGCTGATGAAAACGCTGATTACGACAGAGTTCAAAATAGTGCGCCATTGTGAATGTGGAATGGAGCATCAGAATGAAAATTTTACCGCCCTTATTTTGTAGCTAAGTAGGAACAAATCTTTGATAAACAAAACAGATCAGTTTTAATGTAGGCGAGCTTCTCATTTAAATATCATACATTGGTATCCATAGATACCGTCAATAATTAACACCTTTTTATCATTGACTCTGTCCGTTTCAAATAAAACTACAACCAAAACAGTTTTATTTTATCGCCATAATCAAATCATTCTTCTTCTTTGCGCCGTGATCTTTCAAGACGTTGGCAATAATGGCTCTCCACAATTTCCTATCCGTTGAAACTCTTAATAAATTTTGTTTTTTGATATTACTCCTGATTCCTGTTCCATCATCCATTTACTGAAGTTCGCTAGTTAAGTTATGCGTTGTTTTCCTTTGTCCCTCTTGCCCTCAATATGCCCTATGAGTAACAAATTTTCCTAGCCCGCTTTTCTCATTAAGCACTCCAGGAGTTTCAATTGTCTCTTTCTCTTGTGAAGTATAAGTGTCCTTTTTGTTTCCATTTCCTCTAAAACTTCACTGTTGCTTACATGTTCAGTCCATGATATTCTCAGCATCCTTCTGTAGAACCACATTTCTGTAGCTTCAAGTCCCTTTTTCATCTTTGAAGAGATTGTCCAGCATTCACTGCCATATAGGACTTACATGATGTAATAGTTCAGTACACTTTTCTTTGTTTTTAAACAACTATTCCTGTTTCTTAATACTTTGCTAAGCTTTTGAAAGACACTTTCACTATCTCAAACCCCTTCGGATTTCAGTGTTGCACTTTCTATTCTCTGTTAAAACACTTCCCAGATATTTAAATTTTTACACTTATTTTTCATTTCTCTAATTTGTAGTTTGCATGTTGGAGTGTTCTTTTTGCTAACAACCATGCATTCTGTCTTCTTGATATTAATGTTTAGTCCTTTCTTCTCGCTTTCCTTCACTTCTGCCGGAGTTCTTGCAGTTTACTTTCTGTGTCTGCTACTAACACTGTGTCATCTGCATATTTTATATTGTTAAAATTATAGCCGCCAATAACGAATTCTGTTTGGACTTCTAATTCTCTTAGGATCGCTTCATTGTATAGATCAGTGGTTTTCAACCATTTTTTGATGGAACGGAACCACAACGAAACATTCCAGTGGCTCGAGGAATTCCTGCAATTAAAAATGACTGTCAATCACAGTACTTGTGTAACTTCTAGCGGAACCCCTAGGCTTTACTGGCGAACGCTAGGGTTCCGCGGAAGCCTGGTTGAAAACCACTGGTATAGATTATGTCTGGCGAGAGGACACATCCTTGTCTTATACACTTTTCTATTTTTATATATTTACTTTTCTATCTGCATGCAGGCGATTTGCTACCAATAATTCAAGTAAAAGAATCAAATTCTTAATATAAAGCTAGCTTATAAGGAATAGATCGACCGTCAGTAGTTAAAACCATTTTTTATTATTTTTCTTAAATCCGTTTCACATAAAACTACAATCAAAAGGAAAAGCGATTAATGCCGTTTTTCTATTTTTTTCCTATAATCATTAATAAAAGAGATAATGATACATTCTTAAGGTACCATTAAATATCTGATATCGCAGTATTCATAGATCGATGTAAATATTCAAACTATTATTTTTGCTTTTTACGGTCTATCAACCTTTTTTACAAGTTATTTAAAGCCAGAAAGTATTTTTAGAATGTAAGAATTTTTGGGAGACAATAATGATTTACTAACACGCGTCCTACTAATTAACCCATAGCTGAGGGAACAAGAGATGAACTAATATCTTTTCCAAGGGTATTTGTGCTGAGATGAATATAACGAATCCAACTGGAATTGAAACTCGGCTCTCCGAGTTCCAATTCCGTGCCGTTATCTATTACACCACCCGCACATCCAAGCTTGCAGCACCTGGTATTCTCAAGCGGTCAGTCATCTAGGTCCTGTCGAGGCTCGACGTTGCTTACCTTCGGTGATCTTACGAGAACCGGTGTTTTAACGGGATATGGCCGTTATCCTTTTTAAATCCGCCTAAAATAAAACTAAAATTAAAAAGAAGCAACAGAACAAAACTTTTTCCAGCCTTATTTGGTAGATGTTTATGAACACCTCATTAACAATCAAAAAGAAAGAAAGAATTAATAAGAGACAAGCTTATAATTAATACATATCTAAATATCCATCGATAAACTATAATAATGTAAACATTTTTTTATTATTTTCTTAAGTCTTTTCATATAAAACTGCAATAAAAATGAAAACAGAATAATTATTTTTAATTAGGAATGAACAAATAATTAATAACCGAAAATGATGAATTTCTTAATGTAAGCTAACGACTTATTAATAGATATGATATGTATAGATCAATTTTAAATTATTTTTAATCATTTCACTCCAAGTAAGGTGATAATGCCACAAAGACGCAACGGGTTGCTGGGAACGGAAGAAGAATGAAAAGACTTTAGTGAGGAGAAAGGACAATAAAAGAACAGATTTCAGAAAGAAGATAACGATAACGACTGATAACGATTGATACTACATTAAAATGTTTGAAGATTGTAGGTAGGCGGGACCAAGAAACAAGAAGAGAGTTCCACATTTGAGAAATGCGTGATATTTCAACTGTAAAACAATGAACCAGTCAAAGTACCAAGGAGGAGAGCTTATTAGAAAAACTGTCATTAAAATATTTATAAAAGAGACAAAGGGGAATCACGTCTACTCGGTGGCAAAGTAACTGAAGTCGAGATTCTAAGTCAGGACCGATGGCATTATAGACCCTTCTTTGTATTTTTGTCGAGAATCTCAAGATATATTGCAGGAGCACCAAACCAGATATGGGTGCAATATTCAATGCATGAATGAATGATAATTTTATAAATGCGCAAGATGGATTCTGACGAGATAAATTGCATGGCACGTCACAACGAACTAAATTTCCTAGCATCAGATCTAGCAATTGATCAATATAATCCCTCCGTTTCATATAACTAGAAAACGTGAAATAAAAAAGGTACAATGAGTTGCTCTCCTAAAGGTTAGCCATACTTATAGGGGGAATAAAAATAGATCTCTATGATCATTAAGATATAGCAATTTAATTTTGGAGGTAGTAAAATTTACAAGTCATTTCTTGCCCCATTTAACAATTAATTGGCAACCATTTTCGAGAGCAGTTGCCAGTTTTTCATTGTTGGACCTGTCGTACTTATTATTAAGACGGGAGCAAATAGTTGTGTCATCAACATAAATACCTAGTTTGGAACATGAATCATTAAAACCTTCTTTTTATTATTGTTCGTAAAACTGTTTTAAATAAAGCAACAAAAGAAAAGCATGTCTTTTGCAGCCTTATTTTGTACTTGCCTATATATAAATCATAAGCCAAAATAGAGAAATTTGGTTCCAAGAAACTGAAAGCGGCCGGAAACCATATGATTTAAAAATACCCAGAACGAAATCACAAGCGTATACATATATAAGATTGCTAAAAATAACCATATCAGAATTAATTATTCAATTACACATTTTCCCAATGCCTTAAATCTATGACACTGAGCCTATCATATCTGAAATTTTAAAGCAAGACCCAAAAGGACATAAATAATATTGATATAGTATATTGATAGGAATTTCTGAATGACCCAGACATTGCTAAATCCAATGAATGTTGTTGTTATTATTAATTACTGTAGCCTCTTCGTCTACGGCTCAAAATTCCGACCACATCTTGTTCAGCTGACATTTCAAAAGCGACCTTCAAGTATCATAGCCACCCGATTCTGTCCGCTTTACTTCAAAGGTTTATGAAACATGAGAGTAGCCATTGTTCAACAATTTCTAGAAACGACATTTAGGGATTTAGGTCGGCGAGAAAACGTAAGGGTCGCTGGTGACGTCATTGGTCTGCTTTCTCTTCAGTTGGGTTAATTTTTGTACCTTGACCCTTTTCTTTTAAAGAATACGTTTCGTTCCATCAACCTGAAACTTTTTGAATACTCTTCCGTATTTTCTTTCATTTTTCTTATTATTATTCTTATGCTAGCAGAAACAAAGCTGCTTCGTAATAAAACCGACATTTTTTTTCAGTTTGATTCTCGTTCCATAAGGAGCGTGTGTATTAATCTTAATGACGCCTAAGGGTATTTTATTTTCCTTTTTTCCTGAAACATAAACCTTTAAAACTTTCACATAAGTCTTATATGAAGAAAAATCTACAGATGGCATTCTAGAAAATAAGTCCAAACAGCAAAAAAAAAAAATTAAATATTCATTCTATGAGATGTGGTTGCTTGTTTAGCGGCATATCAACTCCTTATGGGTCATTTTATGCCGAAATTTTCTTGGGAGCATTAGTAATTTTCTTTACAAAAATATATTGCTGGTAGATCTTTTTCATTTTTTTACATAAATGTATTGCTGGTAATTGTTTTACTATGAAAATGTATTGCACGTATTTTTACCATAAAAAATGTATTTTTATACTTTCATTGTGTCTTGACCCCGGTTTCGGGGTTCACTATTTGCACATAGTTGAGACTGGATCAGGGTGGACTTGAGAACAATAGCAGTTAAGAGGCAGCCCCACACTCTTGAAATCCTCCCGATCAGAGGCCTTCCTGCCAGATGTAGTTTATCGTCATACACTGGATGTCTATGATAAGATAAGATAAAACATAAAATCAGGAAAATTTGAAATTTACATCCTGATTTTCACCCAGTCGTTTATCAGATTGTATAGCTCCAGAATTCTTTACTTTTTTTTGTGATGTCATGTCTGCTTCATGTTTTTCAAAACTATGAATTGAGAAAGTGACTAGAAAATTCAAATGTCTCCAATCGTGTTGTCACTCTTGAAGGAACCATCGTGAAGGAGCATAGAAAATAGACTTACCTAAAAAACGTGATTCTTGGACAGAATTTCAAGTGGATAAGTGAAAAAGTCTTCAATTAATTGATTCGAAAACCAACTTTGCTCGTTAAACCCATATCTTCGTGTCATCACTTAAAATTGAAGCCTTCTTTCTCATTATATATCAAAACTATCGTTTTAAATTATGATGTTGGAAAGTAAAACTTTCAGTGAAATATGATAGAAAATTATAAAATTTTTCATCTGAAATCAAGAAAATACGAACTTTAAGCAAAATTTGTCTCAATGGAGAATATGGATTTAGTTTAGATTAGAATTAGTAAAAAATTCTGACGAGAAATCAATTAATAATGCTAACAGGACATTGATTTTGTACTGCTTAGAAAAAAGTTTCATTTTATTATGAAACAACCATTTCACTATGATACTTAATGGTTTAGTTTTTTTTAATAAAATATCGAATTTACGCTAAAAATGAAGTAACATCGGAGAACAAAAGTTGTTTTTTTTTTTAAATTCCTAAATACCAATTTTGGAGGCACGCTGGAGTAATGGATAGCGGCTCGGATGGAGGATCTATTACAATCCTCTTCTTCCCCCCCCCACCAGCTATGAGTAAATAGCAGGACAGACTGTTCTACCGCAAAAAGAAATAGCAACCTACTGCGGGAAAAAAATCTGCCTCGTCAGTCATGTATCGACTGACTGAAATAACAAAATTATTTTCTAGATTTAGAGATTAGACTTATTTAATTTAGGATTAGATTTATTCATTATCAAATGAATATTAGGGAAAAGAAAGCAAGCTGTTTGAGATAGCTGCATAGATGTGGCTACGCAGAGGGAACATCAAAAGAAAAACTGTAAGAAAATGAAGTCGTGACAATAGATCAAATAATCAATGAATATGACAAATTGGTCCTGAAAGAATTCAAGAATGAACATGACTGGGTGAGAAAAGTGATCCGCTTGTAAACTGTGTAATCAACTAAGAACACTGACCAGTGGTCTATACAAAGAACAATACCTGTTGTAAAAAAAGGAAAAATAAAATCTTCTGGTACTTTGAGATTCAAACGGATTGCCAAATCTAGAAAAGATCGGATCTACTCGACATAAAGGAAATCATTTCGTTATTACGTCAAAAAACAGATTAATTATGAAAGAAAAAACGAAAAGATAGATAAGTATTGCCAGAGAACTGAAGAAGTCGTAGAACAGGAAGATGATAATTTTGCCAGTAATTGTCAGAGCACTGGGAGTTGTTCAGAAGATGAGGGAAAACGTAAATTAAGAAAAGAGTTGGGACCATCCAGACCACAGTATTTCTAAAAGCAGATGACTGTTAAGAGTGAGGGAATATTGTAAAGACTTGCTGTCACTTAATCTCGTAGGTAAGCCGCCGGATATTAATTGTGTGAATACTCAATGAGTGAAATACAATAATAAAGTGTCTGGTAGTTGCAAACAAATAAAGAAAAGAAAACCGGTTAGATCAAATACATGACCCTACCAGCAGCCGAAAAAAACATGATTGTAACAGAAAACGAAACAATTACTGTACTATAAGTGTAGCAGAAGACGTAAAAAGTGAAAAATTAGAACACCAGGACCTCGCAGGGGAGACAGGAAAACTATGAAACATGAATATTAGGGCAATGTCTATAATTGTTGTAGCCGTGCCAAAAACACTAGAATCAAATATTTCACTGACTTAATTATTGGCATCCGTCGGTCTCGAGCGACAAAGGATCTGCGCAGGCCTAGGTAGGTTGTTTTAAGAGAGATCAGTAGTTGCCCATGCAGCACATCTCTCCTCACCACACCACCAGTGTTGTCCAAAGGAAAAGCAGATGCCAATACAGTTTGGCACCGGTGGCGTCACAGGATTTATCAGAATGAAACATAATATCGGAATCTCTTAGGGATTCCGGCTCCGAATTTGAATTCAGAGTTGTCCTTCTCATAGTTTGGTTGCCAACCTTGGCTACATAACCCAGACTGTTATACTATTAAGTTATAGTTGGAGGTCATAGTTTTTCCTACTCTAAGAACAGTTTCCAATCAAGGCTATAGAATCCAGTATACCCTGCTATTTACCCACAGCTGGTTCTGTTTATGATTATGATTATTCGTATTCCCTTTGGACTGTTTAGTGTGTTCTGCCGGAAACAACAAGTTCTTTCAGCGTTGTCACAACTTTCTTAGTATTCTCGTAAGTTTTTTGGATAGTGCCTATTCTAGTTTGAATTTTTTCCCGTTTCAGATTTTTGAAGTATTTTAACAAAACACGAAACACCAACTACTATGAATACAATTGTCATTTTATTTATTTGTTTATTTATTTTGCAGCTTCTGAAACTTTCCAGCTATACTTTGCTATCTTTTTCTCCACTCCAAAAATCAATTTGAGAGCAGTGAGTACTGCCACACCTATGATTTGACATATTCTACTTTCTGTACCAGTCAGGATAATGTACGGCCATTTTGCTTTCTCTGAATATCAACACATTTTGCTCTTTTCACTTGGAGCTTATGCTTTACCATTTTAGGCATGTACGAATTCGGATCATTTCATTATTATTAAGTTTATTGTTTTAGGCAAGAGAGAAAAGAATAGAGAGTCTTCTGTGGTTTTAGTATATCTGATAATTTTATTAACAGTAGTAATAGTATAGTTATGAAAGCTGAAAGAGAAAGTTAATAGAACTGTACTGGTAATAGTAGCAGCTGTACTAGTTAAAGTAGTAGACATGAAAGATACCTTCTCTTCCTCCTCCTCCTCCTCCTCCTCCTCCTCCTCCTTTAGTCTCGTAGACTCCACTGAGCAGTATGAAGCATTGTTGCTGTGGTTTCCATAGCAATTAAGTTTTTACGGGTGGAAGTTAATACCCTCATGCCCAACCGGTTTTCGCTCTGCTGTGAGAGCGCTAAGAGTAAGGGGCGCAGTTTAGGCGGATATGTGGGAATGATAATGGTTGTGGCAAATAAAAACAATAAAGAAAATAATAATAAAGAATTTAAAAAAAAATAAATCCATTTTCCTATTGTACTAGTAATAAAGGAACCAAAAATGTTTTTGGTCACTTTTTATGACCCCACTTCCGGAAATGACAAAACCACTCTCTCGTTTTCATTTTCCAACGCAGTGCGTTCGTATGTGTTTTGCATCTCCACTCATGAAGTAATTTAGTCGTTCCAACTCAGCGCAAAGCTGACTTGATCTTGACCGGATTGGTGTGCTTTCTTATGCAGGATAATTTCAGCAACCCCCTGAACAGACTGAATTACATACACACATATTTGGGGATATATTTTGAGGAGTTTTGTTAAGGTCGCCAGAGAAAATCAACATAGGAAGAGCGTATTGTAACAATAGCAGTAAGGACAGGCCAGTAGATTGTCCTCCCAAACTTTGAAAAATTGGAGAATGAACAAACAACTGTTGTTCTATTTTTGTTAGTTATGAGTGAATTAAAGTTCAGACGAATGCATGTCAAGAATTAAAGTAAGGAATACACTAGTCTGAAACCCCTATTTAATTAACAGCTCAAATAAGTTATGTTTTGTTGAAATCCTGTTAAAATATTCCAGGTTTCATGTCTGATTTTGGGACTTCTTCAGATTTTAACTAAACACAACGAAGGAAGAATTGTTTCCTATCCAAGATGTTTCCAGATCAGTAAAATGAACAACTGCCCAACTTCCCCAACCGTAGTGCTATATCCTGACCAGAATCGAAAATTGGGGAAATGATATACAAAAGCAGCAAAGAGGTGCAAGACATCACATCCCCACGATCTTATATCTAGTTTTGTAACCAAATATTCTCGACTGAGGTTATCATTGAAAGACAAACAGGGTGTAGTGATACATTCAATGACTGGAACAGCTCTGTTCTTGACCTAGTATTACAGTGTTGTATAGCCCCTTGGCGGGGGTGGTCTTGGGATGACAGTGTCAATTAGATTCTAATAACGTTGCCCTCTCTCTCTCTCTCTCTCTCTCTGTCTGTCTGTCTGTCTGTCTGTCTGTCTGTCTGTCTCTCTCTCTCTCTCTCTCTCGTCTTCTCCCGGAGAAATTGTTTTTGGTCCGGAGATGAAAGACATCAACAAAGGCAATTTTAAACCTATTTTATTTACGTCTATGCGTATTTAACTAGCCAGTGGGGTCGCTTTCTCACCCCTCTGGGAAGCCGCTTCCCAGACACGAAGGAAAAACATCGTATGGCGGTTTAGAATCGACTCCCCGAAAAACCTTTATCTATCTATCTTTCCCCCGCTTCCTTTATTTTGTCTTGTATCTTAAACTCTAATGTCAAACTGAGGAAGTCAGAACAGAAATATACTTCTCAAAAAATAATAGTTTGCTAAACTATTACTTAACAGTTTTTGTATGCTTCTTCTTTAATTGTTTACATGTGAACACATACACACTTATAATACACCAACACGCAACCTTTAAATTCTATACGGTTAACCCTAGACTTGAGAAGGTTAAGTTTGTAGCGGTCGGGTTGTCATGTTTCTAAATTCGGTTCCCCAAAACAGTCCTTGAGAAGAATCCAAGTAGAATTTGCTCCTTACTAAAGAATTCGAATGGAATGAGGGTGGTTCAAACTCCAATGTACACGACACGGTGCGTTTTATCTAGGAGGGTTAGAGTTGGGGGAACTAAGAAATGTAATTCGTTTTAATATTTTCTATGGATATGGCGACAAAGTAGCGAGAGTTTTTCAACATTTCTTCTGTAGGAAGGGATTGTAAGGTGAAAAGCAATTCCTCACCCACAAGGCCGCGTTGAAGTTTTTGGTCTTTATCAAGATTGAAAAGTGACGACTGGGCAGCTACAACCCAGATATGGCTCCATTTTTCGTCCTGATCTGTTCAAAAATAATAATTATTGTTGTTGTTGTTCACTGCTGGTTATCAAAAATGATCTTAATGTGCTCTGATAAGAGACATTCCTTTATAATTATAGCATTGCGTGAGTGTGTGTACACGTATGTGCCTCTCTCCCATTGAGACGAGTAACACACGGGCTATTGTCTTCTCTACAAAGCAAGTTTTATATTAAAGCCCGTAAGAGTTGGTCCATCCATATATTTAATAATTGCTGTTATCTTCGTCTCTTTTTATCACTAATAAATAGAACAAACGTAAAAGAAAATAGCCATTAAGAGATGACAAGCAAAAAGCCAAGTTTTGTTCAAAGCTCAAGACTTTAGACGTTTAAACTAAAATCTCTATGTTCCAATAAGTATTTATTTTTTGCCAAAAGCCGCGGTTTTTCGGTCTTGGCGCCGAAATGCCACGTGGCGGCGATTGATGAATATCAGGTGATTTTTTTTTTTTTTTAAATTTCTACCACTTTAGTGCGATTAGCTAATGAATTCAGTCAACACGAAGTACGGGTTAGCTTTTTAAGTTAGCATAGATTACAAAGCTGAACACTTTATTTAAGCTTTTAATCTACTGGATAAACTGGTCTCGTTCCATTCCCATATCTAGGGATATCTCTTTTTTTTCTTATAGATCAGATAGGCTTCCACTGGTCATTAATGAACATGGATTTTATCCCACCCATCTGTAAAGTATGATTAAGCCTGTACAGGATAGTATGGAAGACAAGATGTTTCCCCACTCTCTACGTCGTTGATGTATCCAAAGGAACAATCAAGTCCCTTTGTTATGGTCCAGGTTAGGACCAAGGAAGAACAACACGAACACAAGAGTAGAAATAACGAAAGTATATTATACGAAATAATAATACAAGATGTGGAAGATGTATGACTGTCAGTCTGGTTTGAAGTGAACTACTATCGGCTCGACTCGATTCGGTATCTAGCCCCCCCCCCACGAGGGTTGCATGTGGCACAAGGCTGAGTTTAACGTGGGTTTTACGAGCCCGTAGGCTCGGCCAAAAAATGCCCGTAGAACCCGTATAAACGGGATCGTGTTGGTCAACCTCCCTGAACGAGACTCTGCCCTTCGGCGGAGCCTCGTCCAGGTTTCTCTCTGCTCAGAGGCAGAGAGTTGGACCGTTAATCCGAGAAGCTCGGCTCGATTCGACCCTCTCTCTTGAGAGGCGTAGTATATATAGTATTAGGAAGAGTTTATTCTGTTGTTATAGGTAAGGACCCATGACACCCTTACAGTTTGGCACCAGCGCCTTCGCAGGAGCTGCTTTAGGAGTTACAACACTATTTTTTAGCTGTATAGGTGCTACATACAGTTTGAATTCAGTGTTACTTTCTCCTAAACTGGTTGCCACTCAAGGCTATAGAACCTATTTTGTCCTGCTATTTAACCATAGCTTAGGGGAGAAGAAGGGGATTCATACCTTTCCCAAGGGCATTAGTTTGTAAGTGAATGTAGGGGATCCGACTAGAATTCGAACTCAGCTCTTCGATTCCTCAATCTCAGCCGTTATCCATTGCTTCACCGTGCCTTATAACTGCTGTTGCACGCCCTGTTTCACTAAGGCTAAATATATAGCTATGCACTGTCAAAGTGAAGAGACCTATAAACTCTGCCTCGAGGAAATATAACTATAATTATCTTCCCAGAGTAAAAAAAACTACTAAATAAACGACTAGAACTCAAAAATGCACACACGAAAACAATTTTTTATTTTTCTTTCTCTTATGTTCCGTGTCCCTTCAGGGTTTAGGCGATCATGGTCCTCCACATATTCCTGTCTTCCTTGTAGCTTTTGATAAGTTTTGTCTTTTTGTTATTTCTCCCAAACCCTGTCTGCCATTCATTTGTTCAATCCCATTCACGGGTTGCTTTCCCCTGTCCCTATTTCCCTCTATCCGTCCCGTGAGTATCAGATTTTCCAAGCCTTCCTTCCTCATTGCATGTAACAGAAATTTCAACTGCCTATTCTTGATGTTAAGTATAAGTTTCCTTTATGTTTTCATTCTCTCTAAAATCCTCATCGTTGCTCACATGTTCGGTCTATGGTATCCTTATTATCCTTCTGTAGAACCACATTTCTGATGCACCACTGACCCATATATATAAATAGTCGAGGGAAGAATCCAACATTCGCGGCCTGACGATTGCTTTTGAAGGCTTGAGTCTTTGGGATTTACCAGTTACGGCGGATTCCTTGCAGAGACCACGAGCGACCGACTTTTCTCGTGCTCGCTTAATTTACTTTATTTTACGTTACCTTGTGTCTGTCTTTTGCCAAAAGTTTTGAATTTTTCATTTTTCATTCCCACTTTTTTAAACCCCCTTATTTTTTATTTTTTTCTTTATTATTACTTTTATTTTATAGTTATTTCCTTTTCGTTTTTTTTTTAATTTATTTGCATTGACCCCGCATTCCTTTTTGTTTATTTACTCCACGTTTGACTTTATTTTCTGTTTCTTTATACTCCGTGTTAATTCTTTCTACGTTGTAAATATCTGTTAAGTCTTCTGTATTTTTATTTGTTAAACATTCTGTGTATTTATTTTTTTTAATTTTAGTTTCGTATTTTCGTTCATCGGCTGACTCTTTAACGGCAGCCATTTTGAATTTTTGTTTATTTTATACGTATTGTTGGTTTCGTATTTCTGTTTGTAGTTTGTCCTTTTTCTTTTTATATTAATTTAAAAAAAGAAAGGTTTATTGTTTTACCTTGTTTCTTTCTTGTGTACTTTTTTCGAGTCTTTTCTTGTATAACCGTTGTTCTTTAATTCCGTTTGAACTGTTTGTTATCTATATTAATTTTGTGTATATATAATTTTTTTTCTTTTTCTAATGTTTTACTTGTTTTGTGACTACTTGTTAACTTTTCTTCTTATCAAATGTCTTTGATTTAATTTTATTTGTCTGAAAATTTTACTGATTTTTGGTTCTGTTTAAAGAAAAATACTTCTACACATTCTTTTTTTAAAAGTGGTTCGAAAAAAAGAAAGAACCAATCGATAAGCAACATGAAAATATGAAGGAGAAAGACTTGGAGAAATCGACAGACAATGAAAGGAGCCAACTTTCGGAAGTTGTTGGCGAGAATGTTAACTCCAGCGAAAGTATGGTAGCTGGAAAGTGTCAAAATCGTGAAAAAAACAGGTGAAAATATGGTAGCCAAAAATATTCAAAAAGTACCTGATCAGACAACAGCAGCAGATGATGACAACAAAAGCAAAGACGAGAGTTTCTAGAGAAAGCCAAAAGTTACGCACATCTGGACACAAGAGATGGGCTTTTGGTCAATCCTGAGGAACTAAAGAAAGTTGAGAAAAAAATTGTATCAGTCTTTGCAGTAAACAAGCGTTCGTGCAAAATTAAATCTCTAATCTGTCTGGGGATCAAACCGCAGAGGGTAATCAAAGGAAAGTGATATTTCATGTGGTACGTACTGCTACCCACGCCTGCCGATTGTGAACTTATAATAAAAGACCTTATTCTTCGTACATAATATAAAGGCAGGTGGAGGACCAAAATCATTATTTGAGGTTCCTTCTCAGATAGGGAGCACTTGGCTGCATATCTATGCCAATTTGGTCAGATACTCAGTGCTTGTTCTGACGATCTGGTCGGGGGATGGAGTTTCGAAATAATGATAGATCGGATTGGCAATAACCCAACTTCCTGGGAGCGTAAGCAGACTAGTTACCTGTCCTTTTCCCGCACAGAGAAGTAGGCTCTGAGATTCTGGCCTCTGTCGACCCAATTTCCCCTGCGACCGAGTCTGTTGCATTCGTCTCGCCTGTAATGGGCATGCCAGTGATAGGGACTGGTGTGGTTAAACCCCCGGTTGGGTCTGTCTTCCATCTCCCATTCCCCGAAAATCCTTTACCGACCGCTAGTGTGGTTGTGGAGAAGGAAGAGGGACAATGGCAGGTCGTTGGCAAGGTCAAAGGGAAGCTCCGAGCAGCGAGACCTCATTCCACTGAAGTCCCCACGGCTAAAGATACACAAATCCCCACTCTCTCTACCAGTTCTAAGGGCAACTCTCCGACCATCTACTCTGAAAAACTGCGCCAACAGCGCCTGAAATAAGAGCCCTCCTTCGAAAAGGAGGAAAAACTAGAAAAAATAAAAGTGTCCCTAAACGAAAAACGGATTCAACCAACGTGAAATCTTAGGCCATTTTCATCAGCTCCATCTTCATCCTCCAAAAAACAGCTCCTTATTGCCCCACCCCTAGTTCTGAAAACCATAACCGTGACCCTCTTCCAAATTGACTCCCCTAAAGAAAAAAGAAAAACACTCCTTCCAAACCACATTAAAAAACACACTGCGCCCATAACTCCCAATGCATCCCCTGTTAAAAACCCCAGCAATTCACCCCAAAAATTAGAAACACAACAAAGACAACGCAGCCTTTCGCAGAATCAGAAGAGCCTACCAAAGAAAAAAAACTGAAGCAAAAGTTTCTCTTTAATAAGGGGGAAAATGTCTGTCGAGTAGCTAAACATCAATCAGACAAAGCTTTTTCACAAAGGAAAGGAAAGGACCTTAGAATACTCTTGAATATGTAAAAAATAAAAGCTTTGGACATCGAAGATTTGTTGCCTCCACCCTTCTGAAGGCTGTCTGGGTATGCCTAGCATTGAGATTCGTCAATATATGCTAAGCATCGCGTTTCTAGATCGAATGTGTTGCGATTCCGATAAGGAGGGTGCCTTCTGGAAGGAAGACACCCGTAAGAACTTCCCTTCCATGAGAAGTGTGCACTCGTGCGAGGAGGAGGTCGGCCGTTTACCCCGAGCCAAGTGCTCCTTCTATCGTGAATGCCGCCTTACTCTGAAACGACTCTCGCAGGCATCGGATGGCCTCTCCAACGTCCAGGCGTTGTCTCATAGGGCATTGTATCAAGTGTTAGTTAAGGGGTGGTGGGGGCGTTCGTGATGAGCTGATTGGTGATCTAGGTCTTACGAAGCAGGAGGCTTGCTAAATATGACCATGGGCGCCCGGGTTGAAATGTCTCAATAACGATGAGGCATCACTCACCTGGCTGATGATTCGTGGAGCTCTCTGGATCGCCAAAAAGAATTTGCTCAGCGGGTTTGGAGAAATTCCAAACTGTCGGCACTATGGTGATGAGGTCGAGACTCTGGGTCACGTCTTCTTTCATTGCAGGGTCGTAGCGCCGTTGTGTAAGTTTGTTGAAGACCTCCTGGTTCGCATGCTGCATGGAAAGTTCTTTTGTCCTTGAGTCCAGTTCTGTTTGTAGCAATGTGGTGCCGCCGGTGACGAAAGCTGAACACTATGTGTTCTTGTACTTAGTAGGTATTATGAGAGTCGTGATTTGGACGACGCGTTAGAAGGGATTCTATGGAGGCGAGAAGTTTACCTCTTCCCAACTTATCTTGTTCTTTAAGCATCAGGACGGAAAGGCGGCGGCTAACTTCATCAAAATTTGGTAAAAAGTGGGTGAATCTTGCGCGTTTGTGTCGAGTGAAAAGGGCTGACCTAGAGTGGCATTTTGATGGCGGTTAGGCATCAGGATATTGTTAACCCTGCCCGGATTTAAGTTAGTTTAAGTTTTTGACATTTGTCCTTATTTTCCTCTCTTTAGATTAACTTAGCTAGATGTTTGCTCATTGGTACCTTTTATTCATCTATTCAGCATATTACCAATTACGTCTTTTTTTCTCGCTTTACATTCTCTCACTTTCTTTCTCTCTCTCTCTCTCTCTCTCTCTCTCTCTCTCTCTCTCTCTTTCCTCCTCTACCCCTCTCTCATTCTTGCCTGTTTTCTCTTAGTCTTTCAATATATAGCTAGTTAATGCTCTTTCTCTCTGTCTCTCTCCCTCTCTCTATCTCCCTTTGTCTCTCCTCCTCTCTGTCTTTCTCTCTCCCCCCTCCCTGTCTATTAAATTCAGTTACTAGCAAATATTAACAAATATTAATCTCTCCCTTCCTTCCGCTTCTTACTTTTTAATATCGATCATTCAATAAATTTCAAATTAATAACAAATTCTAAAGAATATGTCTTCCTCTCTCACACGCATTCTCAATTTCCTTCTCTCCTTCTCTCTAACCTTTGCGTTTCTTTTTATCTCGTCACGTGTCACTTTTTCCTTTCTGTGTTTCTTTTTAATGCTTTCCTCCCCTTCTTTACATTAATTACCTCTCACTCACTTGCCTCTCTCTGCCTGGCTCTATCTTTCCCTCGCACTTTCTTTGTCTCACTTCTTCTGCCTCGTTCATACTTCTTTTTTATCATCATTCTTCCTTTTTTTTTTTTCATTTTCTGTCCTCTCCTCTTTTATCCTCTCTCTCTCTCTTCTCTCTCTCTTCTCTCTCTCTCTCTCTTCTCTTCTCTCTCCCTCTCTCATTTTTCGGTTTTCCCCTTAATCAGTTCAACACATATTTGCCTAACAAACATTGTCCAGATTCTTCGGGAAACATTTTAGGTGCGGCCTATGTAAATATATGGACGTTAATGGAAAAATCGTCTACTGTATATGAAGTGTTTTTATTGTCTGAGAAGGGAGTGTCTAACTCATGCCGTTTATTGTTGGTAGGAGGCTGTCTCTAGAAAAATAATCTTGGAAAAATTTTAATCAAATTATTGAAACGCGGAATGACTACTCATAAACATTATGGCTTTTCTCTATCTCGGCTTTATTTTTTCTTCTCTTTGGAAAGGATATGCCTTCTAATAGCTAGTTTTATCTAGGATATTATACAGCGACTGCCGTTAGTAGCAATTAATCTGCAATGTTATTGTTTCTAAACTGGCATCTCAGCTTCAGTCACTTTCCCACCGCCGAAACATAGCTTTCCTGGGCCTTTTGTATAAATATTTTAATGGTAATTGTTCTGATAACCTTCTTCTTTGGTAACTTGACCTTATCAATTTAAACGCAGGACTGGATTGGTGGCAAGGTTTCATCATTTTACAACTGAAATGATTAAATGCAAACGTAAGTTCGATGCTAACAATTTCCTCTCTCGCACTTATCACTTGTGGAGCTCTTTTCTGGCTTCTTGCTTTCCGTTCAACTTTGATCTTCAAATTTTTAAACGCAATGTCATTCGTTATGTTTTGTCTTCTTAATTCCTGTTCTTTTATTGCCCTCTTTCCTTGATGTTTCTCTCCCACACTCAGTAACTCTTGCGTATTAGTCGCTTTATTGTCTTACTTGGGGTGAATTGACCCTTGGAATACTTAACACAAAACTATGAGGTGCTTATCGTAAATTATTATGTACTTATCGTAAATTATTACGCACTTTTGACAAAATTGTTACATACATATTGCTGTAGGGATACAGAAGACGATTGTTTCCCTTTGATGTAGATAACTTACATAGGTCACGTGATGAATAGTTTCATGACGTCACTCCATACAGTGACGAAAACGTCAGTCAAATTCAGTCGGTTTACGGTAGCCAAACCAAGAGGTTGCTTTTTTGCGCAGGATTCCCATGGTTCAGTTAGAGGCTAAATCTGTCTCAGCAGCTTAGAAGTCCTTGGCATCTTTCAAACTCTGGGAATATATCTTTCCAAGATATCAAAAGAAACTCCAGCTCGTAGTCCTCAATTTGGGAAAACCCAAGAATTGCTGTTTCCCATTCATGGACACACGAGTAGCTTCATATTACATATAATAACCTTCCTTTTTTGTTTCTCCTTACACTCTGCTTTACCGTGTAGATATATGTTTTTTTGCGTAGTTTGCGCCAATTTTCATTGTTAATATAAAATAACTGCAACTTGACACTGGCGTTAGTTTTGATGCCGATGCCTGGTGTGTCCGAGATTGAAACCTTGCATCTTTCAGTTGCAAGTCAGATTTTGATGAATGTTACCCTTTTGTCTATAAATAAATGCCTTAAAAATGGAGGATGAAAAATTATACTTTCACCATATTATGCTCTATGAATTTTAGAAAGGATTAAGCGTTAGAACAGCGATAAAAGGATTAAGCGTTAGAACAGCGATAAAAGGATTAAGCGTTAGGACAGCGATAGAAGGATTAAGCGTTAGAACAGCGATAAAAGGATTAAGCGTTAGAACAGCGATAGAAGGATTAAGCGTTAGAACAGCGATAAAAGGATTAAGCGTTAGAACAGCGATAAAAGGATTAAGCGTTAGAACAGCGATAGAAGTCTTTCAGAAGCTTTATTTGGATAGTCAAAAAGTGGTTTGGCAGATTTTGTCAGGTTGATTTTAAACTAAACGGTCTACCACACTCTGGCTGACCTGACATTGATGAAGTCGCTCTGCTTACCATCATACAGAATAAACTGAAGAGATTGGTAAGAGTTTGAAAATTGATATCTCAACTGCCTTTCGCTATTTGAAGAGACTTAGGTCAATTTCAAAGTTGATACATGGATCCTACCTTCTCTGGTGGAATATATATATATATATATATATATATATATATATATATATATATATATATATATTCAACTAAGAATTCTTATAAGTTTTTTAAGCTTATATAATTCTCTACATAAGATATATCTTTCAATAATCCAAGCTCTTCGACGTTTTCGAGTGCTGGTATTCATGAGGTTCTCCTCTATTTTGCATTTTAAATACATCATAATCAAGAACTGGTAATTGTCCACACATAGGCTTCATTTCAGTATGGTCAGTATGGTATAATATTCTCCTTCCATATTATGTATTCTGGAATCAATATCAAGGTCAAGTTTAAAATAATGACTCAATATTTGTACTTGTATCAGATCATTGAAAAAGCTTGATTTTCATTGTTAATATAAAATGAACGCAACTTGAATCCGGTGGTAGTCTGAATGTCAGTTGCTGGTGTATTCGAGATTGAAACCTTGCATCTTTCAGTTGCGAGTCAGACTTTGATGAATGTTGAGTTTTTGTCTATAAATGAATGCTGTAATGATGTAGGATGAAAAGTTATAAATTTCACAAAGAAGTAAGTGACATGTTGGATTAAATTCTTCAGAGATTGCTTTAAAAGTTTAAAAATCTAAACGAGGGTGAGTGCATTCATTGAGAGGAAAAGTGTGTGCCTGATCTTCATTATTAATATAAAATGAACGCAACACTACACTGGCATTTGTTTTTGTTTCAATTTCTGGTGTGTGTGAGAATGAAACCTTGTCTTTTTCTGTTGCAAGCCAGACTTTGTTAAATGTTGATGTTTTGTCCACAAAGGAATGACTTAAAACTTCACGAAGAAAAGTTTCACTTTTGCCATATTATGATCTATGGATTTCGGGAAAAAAGTAAACAGTCTGAAGCTTTATTTGGATCGTACTCAAGCTCGACGGATGGTCAAAAAGTGGTTTGGCAGATTTCTTCAGGGTAATTTTAACCAAATCAATCAACTGAGCTCCGTTTTGATTGCGTTAAAAGACAAAAGACATACCAAAGACGCTACCTGGTTTCACTGAAAGAAAGAAAGAATTGTTTAACGTCTCCTGCTGATATTTCATAAATAATGAATAATTCCGTTTTAGTCGCGTGAGAAGACAATGACATACCAAAGGCACTACTTCGTTTCCATGAGAAATGAAATAAAGAAGAGAAGATAGAAGTGTTTAACTTCTGTTTTAGTGAAATGGAAAAAGTTGCCAGTTTCAAATCATTTCATTTGTACCCTCGTACTTCTTAAAATAATGACCAGAATTTATATTTATGATTGTTATTGCAATATTTTCTTAAAGTTGTTAAGCTCAAATATTTAACTATGCGATAGTAGATATTAATGTTCTTATTTGACAGAATTCTAGCAGCTTTAGAGATGAATCGGGAAATTATAAATGCTTCCATTGTGTATTTAGTGCTTATTTTATATACTCTAGGCAATATATACTTTTTGTGTTTAAATTGCCTTGTTTTACTCACAGGAGATAATTTTATTCCGCTGAATAATAAAAAAAAAAAAGTAACTGAAAGTAAAATCTACAAAGGTTGCCAAAAGTTTCTCTCTCAGACCCGAAAACATTTGATGTTTGGTCATCTGGTCAGGTATTGAGAAATGCGTCGGACTGAGAAATTTTCGGCATCTTGTATTTTTATGATTAGTATATTGGTCAGAATTCCTTCATAAAATTGAATAAAAAGGGTCTTATTTGCATCGGCACAATTATAGTTTACAATTCTTGTAATTGTGCGGATGCTATACCAGAATGCTAGTAGAGAAATAATCGCTCACGTCTGGGCCCATGGAGGAGAAAGTCTAATGTGAAAGAGGCCCGAAACTTTCTATGACCCCTGATTAGACATCAATGAGGAATCATTCTGATACACAATAAAACGAACATAAAAAAAAAATTGTTGATGTTTCAGGTACAAAATTGAAGTTAGCGGATATATAAGTGAGGTACCAACAAGGAATGTGCAATTGATAAGTAGAATAATTGAGCCTTGCGTTGTCGTGATGATTTCTTGTAGGCTAATTCTTAAAAGGCACACCCGACTTAAAATGGAAAAAGGGAATACAGGTTCGATTCCAATTTAGGACACAAAGTATCATTAGTAGGATTTCTTTATTTCTAAGCAAATCCACATTAATTTCACTGTTTAAAAAAATCACTGATGTCTTCTCAGGGGCTAACTAAAATTTTTATAGTAATAAACAACGTCAAATTTTTAAAAATTCATTAAGGTTATATAATAATTAATATATATATATATATATATATATATATATATATATATATATATATATATATATAGCGCATAAATTATTTAGTATAAAAATAAAATGCAAATCTCCAGTCAATCCCTGAAACTTCCTGATAAGTGGAGCGAACGATTACAAAGAGATTCGTCTACGAAACTGGGGTCAGGGGTGATGAATATACCATTGATCAGGTAAGTGACAATTTTTGTATTGGTACTGAATCTATCTATATATATATATATATATATATATATATATATATATATATATATATATATATATATATATATATATATAAGATTTAAATACTTATTTAAGTATAATATTATATATAATATATATCATATATAATATATATCATATATAATATATATATTTAAGTATAATATATATAATATTTAAATATATATATTTAAGATTTTAAAACAGTAGATATTTTTATATATAGTGCTCAATATTAAAATTATTATAATAATATTAAATATAGAGCATTAATATTATATAAAAAGATTATTTAACATTAAATAACTTTAAATATCAAAAGTCGGGAAAAACAGCAAAAAATTGATATTTAAAGTTAAAGTTAAGTAATCTTTATATATATATATATATATATATATATGTCAGTCACATGGGTTTCTTATGTGCAATACTTAAATAGGATAACAGAACCTTGCTTTGTCCTGATGACTTCTTGTAGCCTAATTGTTAAAACACGTCACTGAGGAAGCATTTCGGTGCGCAATATCTGCATATAAAGCGAATTTACATACATTTAATTTATAAAAC